TGGTGTTTTTTCATGGAAGTAAGTATAGCTATGAGTGACGGGTGGTGAGAGAAATGTGCGCTGGCACGTATTTTGATAGTGTGTGTGTTTTGTTGTGTTTGAATTTGATTGTTGTGTTTGTGTGATTGTTAATAGTATTTATTGTTAAGTATAGATATGTTTTAGTAATTGTATGTTGTATATTAAGATAGATTGGGGGTATGTTCGGTTATCTGGTTCAAAACTGCCTCTAGTCACAAACTATTGCTTGCACAGCCATGCAATTGACTTTGTGAAGTGCCTTGTTTGTAGCTACAAACTGAGCCCTCAAACAGGGCAATTAACACAATTTTTTCGGAAAGAAATCCATGTACTAATTGAGAAAAATTGTCATTTTTATAAATTCCTTACAGTAGGAGCTAAAAGAGGTTGCTTCAAACGGTCTTCAAGCCAAAATTACCATTGTTCTAGCTGATAAAAGATGAAAAGAAAATCAAAAACATTTTCTATGGTGATTTTAGACCCAGACCCTTTAGGGGAGCATTTGGTCAAAATTCAAAAATTTTGGCCCTTCTGTTTTTAGGCTTATTTTGTGGCTGCGGAAAAGGTGCGTCTAGCGCAGCCGACCGCATGTTATGTGTGTGCCTTAATTTTTACGTGAGGCAGTTTCAATATCATATAAAATGAACATTTTTCAACAAAATTTACAAAGATGTCTACTACAAAAATTCAATTCATAGGTTATTCTTCATTTTAATTGCAAAGTGTTTAGACTTATTTTTTAGCTGCAGAAAAGGCACGTCTAAAGGCCTGTTTACACTAGGGGCAACGATATGGGCAGTGAGGCGATGGCTGCAGCGCCTCACCGCTCACAACCGTTCACACTTATTTTTTTAGCTCGAGCCACGCGCTCTGATGATTAGTTGCCAGTTAGACGTCAGTGGGTATGCATGTATCCGAATTTGAGCTCTGGCCATTGTTCTCGGGTGTGCTGCTGACCTGCTGTAAAGGAAAGATGTAGGCGTCGCCGTATTATGGTGAAGAAATTGATGGGAAGAAGAGAGGGGCTCACACAATTACATTTTCAAAGAATCCTCAGTTGCGAATGCATTAGACTTTAAAAATTATACTAGACTGCCAGTGGACTTGTTTGACTCTCTGCTAACGAAAATAATGCCACTCACCCAAAAGCAGGATAATGGAATTGAGATGGAATTCATATGCAATGGAATTCATTTACAATGAAATTCATTTCCCGATGGAATTGCGAATGCAATGTATGAATTTTCTTGCGAACCTTGTCAATGGTGACTTTCACACAAAAGTTTCTTAAAACTTCAACTATTTTCACCAGAGCTTGTTCATTTGCATTTCAACATTTATACTTCTTTGACTGAACTCTCTACAGGCATTCATGGTCCCTACAAAGATCAATTAGCCTCTCTACCAGAGAGCGAGTCCAAACAAGCGTGGCGTTAGTTGCCATAATGAAGGACCAGCGTACACAGACAACATTGCTAGACCACAGACAGCCGTCTACTGACTACTGAGTGCGGCGCGCGCTTGTGTTGCGCGAGACAGGGCGCCTGTGAGTCGCTTCGTTGCCCACAAGAAGCGCACGTAGACACTGCACAGAGGGGCGGTGAGGCGCTTGACGCCCGTGTGTTGCCCCCTAGTGTGAACGGGCCTTTACGCATCAAAACACATTTATGTGCGTGCTCTAGTTTTTGCATAAAACTTTCAAATTATATGAAATGATCATTTTTCAACAAAATGTACAGAGATTAAATTGAAAAATTAGAATTATAGATCATGATTTACTTTAATTGCAATTTGTTTCGACTCATTTTGAAGCTGCAAACAAGGAGCGTCCAAAAAAGCAAATAGCAAAGATTTGCTTGCAATACTTTTTGCGTTAGGCCGTTTTGAACTTGTGTAAAATGACCATTTTATATACACGAATATATTAGAATTTGACATTTTTAGCTTATTGCAGGCGTAAAACTGGACAAAAATAAATCTAAGAGCCCGTAATGGTATCCTAAATACGAGTAATTGGCAGTGGAAAAGCTGGGGCTACAGTATTATAATTTTTTTAGCATTTTATTCTTTTCTCATTCAATTTTACTTATTTGACTACCCTTACTAATTAAAATTTCCCAAATACGTCATCTTAAAAATCTATTTCGGTTCCTCATATGATTTTCAAGCTACTGCATTGAGAGATATACTAGTCGATTTGTAAAATCAATATCTAGCGATTCACTAATTCATTTTTTTAATTCAATATTGTTTGAATTGTATTTTGCAAAAGGGGGCGGGGAGACGTAAATACAAAAATCGAGCAATAACCAATAACCCACACACGAACAAATATGAACTTGGAAAAATAAATTGATGAATCGCTAGATATGGTTTTTACGAATCGAATGATACGTCTCTCGATGTTGTAGCACGTTAATTCTAGTATGAGATAACTAGTTTTCTACAGTAGGTACCTACCCCTTTTTTGCCGTTTCCTATGAATTTCACGTTATATTTCATTTCTTGGAAAAATTCACATGAACAAAAAGGTCTTAGATTTCTGTTCAACATATGTGTACCAAGTTTCGAAATAATCGGGTGGTAGATAAAAAGTTTTTTTTTTTTTTTTGACCGCGGCGCTCCCCTTAATTGCTGTGTAGATAAAAATATTGCCACACCCTCATGTACACAATGGTTGCAAATTAGATCCTTTGTGAATTACTTCCCATTTGCCTAAAAGAATAAATCTAAATTCATAATTAAGTAGAAGCTCTTGTTTGCTCCTGTAAAATTTATTATTCTATTGAACAAATTAAAGTAAAAACTGCAGAAACTCATTGTAAGTATTTAATGAATTTTCATTTGCTGTCGTAAAAATTTATTGTGCTCTACTTTTGCATCATCAAATAATTTTGTTTGATTGTTTGTGTATTTGAGTGAGGTCGTTCAAAACCCATCGATTGATTTGATCTAATAATGCTTCATGTTATGCAGGTAAAACACGGAGAAGATGTAAAGAATAAGTATGGCTCGGATGACGAGAGTGATGATGAGGGAGCTGAAGAGACGGCGGATAACAGTACAACAGCAGAACAAGCAACTGGCAATAAGGAATTAGTGATATACAAGCAGTTGATGCTGCATCTGAAGCCAGAAGAAACTGTTCAGAAGGCACTCAAGGTAAACAAGCTCAATTGTTTTCTGCTGCCAAATATAACCATCTTTTTCAAAGGAATGATCAGAATAGATTTGCTATAAACTCAAACAATTGAAGTTCAGAAACTCTCCGTAAATTGGTTTTAAGTTAAAGACACGAGGTATTGGCACAATTGTGGGCAAAGGGAGATTCGTTTTACGTATTAAGGTGCGATCATGCTGCAAGTGTAAATATGATGTTATGATATATTATGATAGTAGTTGTGTTCAATTGTAACTACAACTGAGCTTGATTGTGTCATAATGGTCAGGACTGGGTGCTTATGGAAGATTTCATAGTACATATTCTATAACTACTCTAACATACGGTATTACATAATTATTGCAACATTCTCAACAACACCACTTTATTTTATATTACTTTACATTCTAACCTATAGTTTTATTTAGAGGTTGGGAGGCGGTAAAAAGCTGACATCTGCTCAGAAATGGAAGCTAAAGAAGCAACAAAAACAAAATTCAGAGCCTGAGAGCAGCGGGAACATGGAGGCGATGCTGCAACTCACTGAGCTTGTGAACAAAATTGTGGAGCTGGGCAACATGGACGTCTATCAGGAAACTTATGAAATGATCTCCGTTAAAGTGAGTTGCTGGGAATGTTTAGAGAAATTGGCTTATTGCCTATTTGATAGCAGTATTTTCGGTACATCACCTTCGTGGGGGTGAGTTAAGTATCAGTTCAAACTTTTTTTATCGAATTACTGGAATTTTTTCATTAGTGTTTCATCCTAGTGGATCAAAACATCTTGCAACAGTAAAATAATATTTACCTTCTAAAGCTAGTTTTCACATCCCAGAAGTATAATATACTTCAAAATCATTGTATTATTAAAAGTGATTGATAATCATTATATTTTTTTTATTACGACTAGTATGCATCCACAAATCATAGATTGTGATACAAGAAAAATCAAGAAGCTGCAGCTTGAAAGTTTTCATAATTAACCATTGATGTTTGTGCCTCTAACTCACCAGGTGAAGCGTGCAGAGAACAACGAGCCTGCCTTGGATATGTTCGCCGAGGTGAGCGAGGCGGCGAAGCAGGGAGAGGCGGCGCTGGGAGGCTCTGCACTGGGTGAGTCACTCTAGTCTAGCGTAGGGAGAGATATGCCAACGCATAACTCTCATATCATATGGTGAGTCGCTCTAGTCAAGCGTATGGAGACATATGCCAACGCATATCTCTCATATCATATGGTGAGTCGCTCTAGTCTAGCGTAGGGAGAAATGTGCCAACGCAGTGGCCCCTAAGGCGTATTGTTTAACACTAACAATATTCCATTAACAGGAGGATAATGGCTGTTGATAAGCTCGTGGTTTTTCTATGCATCATTATCAATAGGCACATGAAGATCACTTATGGTACATTATTTGAAGTCATTCCAGGTACTTCCTGCTGTGCAACTATATTAATACCGGATTTTTTTTTGGACCGATTAACCTTGGTGAAAGGCTTATGAAAATCAGTTTAATGAAAGATTCGTTTTTACACAGAAATAACAGATCATCAGTCTTCTCTTCAAAATTCATATGTAAATATTATCATTACAATTTGGAAGTAATGTTATGATCTGCATGTATTTGATAACAGAGGAGGTGCGGTGGCAGCTACGCTGGGAGAACAAGGATGAAGCTGAGCTCGAAGGTCCCTACACGGCCAGTGAGCTGGTCAAGTGGCAGGAGAGCGGCAAGCTAAGCAAGGGCGCCTATGTCAGGAAAATGGGTAGCAGTGATACCGCCTGGTATCACACTAACAGGATTGACTTCGAACTCTACGTCTAAACTCTCCGGCGTGAACCTTAGTTAAGAAACCAAAATAGTTGGTCGATAGTATTTTGATTATTATGTTCTCTCATTGAGTTTTTCGTTACATGTTTCGAATTTATTGGCTAAAACTTTCCGACAACATAACAAATTACTACTTGAAATTGCCCTAAGTAAGGTCCTCAAAATGAACCGTTGCAAAAATGTTTGATTAATATTATGTTATCTTGGTTTTTTGTCTTACATCTTTTTCGTGCGAATATTGACTTGTGAAACTGTTTGTGTGACAAAGCCTAATTCAATTTCAATCGTGTATAATATATCGAAATGAAATAAACGTTTTGTTTGACCACTTTTATTACCATTCAAAATGTCCTACCTTTGCAAAATCCAGGACATATAAAACAATATCTACAGTTACAAGGTTACCATTAATATTTCTTATTAACCGGCAATAAGTTATTAATTCAGAGTCGGAAATTGGGTTCGTAATGAATATTATAAACCCAGCCACTGTTATTATATACTATTATGTAGTTAAACAACGAATTGTACGATGAACAAATATAATAGGTATGCATCACGCAGTAGACACGATCCTTAATATATAAAATCTATCTGTTATAGCCTCCTTAGAATGTATTAGAGAATCTATATTGGCGAGGAAAATTTTACTTTTTCAGGCAAGTCACGGTAATGACGCGAGTGTGATAACATTGCGATCCAATACTTACGTACTGCTTACGCATAAAATCATACATCAACAAATATTATTTACCTTGCTTTTCCTAATGAAAACTATGCAAGCAAAATTCAGTAGTTAGCTCGAAGGTAGCGAATTTCTTCTTGCAGTCTAAGGTTTTCTTCGAGCAGTTCCTCATTGAGGGAATATTTTTTATGCAACTCCTCAATCTCACGCTGAAGAAATCAAGAAGAGAACAAAATTAGAGAAGACTCGGTAATTGTAAAAGTAAATAGGTGAACAGTAATATTAATTCATTTCACATAAAAAAATACTTTAATATAAAAAGATTCGCTTGATTTAGGAAGAAGTTAGTCAAAAGAAATATATTTGACACTCGCTAGGTCCGCCGCAAACATACACCAGTCGTATTTCATTAATTTGAAGCGAAACTTGGGAATAATTCGAGATAGTGGCATTTTGAAATCGATTTCATTTTCTTGCTAAAAATATCGAACAAATTTAAATGTGCGCTGTCTGGATGAGAGGCAAAGCAGATTTTAGTAGGCTATATTTGCGCCTAATGTCCAGACACCGACCGTCTGCTGTACGAGCGTGGTGAGCAGCGTGTAGTTGAGGTGGATGAAGCGTCTGTTGATTCTCGTCTCGAGCTCATCCAGCGAATCTGCAACGCAGCTCCGCACCAGCGCCAGCGTCAACGACTGCGATGTTGCACTAGTATTGCCTGTAACTAAATTGCAACAAACGTAAAACTTTAGCTCGCAAAGCCCCCAATCGAATTTGTCGTTCCAATTGAGCATCCAATTCACTCTATAATGATCTTGAACAAACGAAAAGGAAGTTAGATCATGCCTACTTCAGCGACAAAAATGGTGACAAGGAACTGGTGTAGTCAAGCCATGTAAAAACGGAGATGGTATACTAAAAATGATAAAAAATTATTCTCTTACTGCCATGCAGGAATGAGAGCAATTAGCTAGCAACAAAATTATTAAAATATAGAGTTCAACAACCACGTGTCGTCAAACATATATAGCGTAATGAAAAAGACAACTCACTAGCGGGAGGCGCAGCGTCTTCCTGGCCGGTCGTTTCAGTTTCAGTTGGCGGCTCGTCAGAGCCTGGAAATCAAAACAACTCATCAGTGTTTTAGATGAGGTTTTTCTTTGCCATGAATGAAACCATGCATCTTGAATATTGCCCGCTCTTTTCACGCCGATATTTTATTTTAATCTGAAATCGTATTTTTATAGACAATATGAGCTTCTAATGCCTAATTTATTCAGCTTCTGCGTGAAAGTTTAAATTAATCTATTCACTGATAAAATATTTGCAGTGGTCTATAAATGGACTTATTCTATAAACACTTTGCAGAAAATAAATGCTATCTTCACATCATTACTTGTAACAACGAATCTCACCCCTGGCAGAAGGCGATTCCAGGACAGCAAGTTTATTCACGATGTTTTCATAGTTTTTCAGAAGACACTCCAAAGTAGAGTTAGTTGCAGAATTTCTCGGAGTTTTCTTTTCAAATTGAAAGTCTTTATTTGACGCTTCATGCAATGCATGTTCAGTGAGTCTACTTAGCAATTTATCTTGGTTTTGAGGGGCATCGATGACAGTTGGCATTGCTGTTTTTGGTCTGGGCGAGTTATGTAACTGACTTTCGTTCATTCTAACGTTGGTCGAATTTGATGGATCAAACGCAGGAGAAAAAGGAATTTTTTGAGGAACATTTTCCTTATCTTTAGGAGATAGGTGAGTAATTTTCGAATCATGATGAGTTTTACTGCGGGATGGTGAGCCGGTAGGTGAAACGCTGCTGCGTACAAGATCATCAATAGCAGCAAGGCGGTCGCTCACCTTCTTCGATGACCAAACGCAAGCAGGCTCGACAGCAAGACCATCTCGTAATGGCGACAGCACGTCGTCTATAATCCCAGTGATTTAAAATATAAATGAAAACAATTCATATTAATTATGCACCTTATCAAAAGTTATCAGGTAGTTATTTACTTTCACAAATTCTAGTAACAATATGAATCAGCGAACAATAACAAAATAGAGCTGTTAGTAAACGAATTGATAATTATATCTTCCTTTCATGGGCTGCAAAGCAAAGTAGGACCGAGAGAGATGAAATACTGTATTATAATTTCCCTATAATATACAATATTTTTGCACGTCCTCTGCTAAATAACTGCATTTATCAGCTTTACTAACCTTCATAAAATAGCCGCGTGTCGGCCATGGCAGGAGAAGGAAAGCTCTGCTGTGTCTTTGAGCCACGGTCCAAGATGACATCATTGGTTTGGCCTGACGTTTGAGAGGCAGTTTCAACAATAAAATGCGATTCTAAAGCCTTGGAAGCACTGGTTGAGCCATGCTCATCCGAAGGTTTCTTTATAAAAGGGCCGCGTGATAAAGAAGGTTTCTCAGATTGTTTCATTTCAAGAGTGGTAAAAGGCTCAATTGATTCCTTGGCAGATAGTGGCACTACGTCCAACTTATTCAGATTTTGCCGAGGGGAAGTTACAGCTGAAATACTCGACATCAAGCGTTCAGGGGATATTGCATGCAAATCTTTCCCTGCTAGTCGTTTTGGGGACAAATAAGTTGACTTTTCTCCCGCCATCCGAAGCAGTGAAGAACGGATCGACTCATCGCGTCTGGAGCTGCGAGGTGTCAATGAGATGGACGAGTCAGTTACCAGGGCCTCATTGCGGGAAGAGGCATAAGGCGTCCGGTGCATGTCATCTGCCTGAAACTGGAGAAAACTACTGCAATGAAAGTGGATAAGCTTTCAAATTAATATTTGTTAAATTAAAGATAAAAGTACAAAACGCGGAAGATGGCACTTAGTTGCATGACACACTACACTTAAATATAGCGACAGACTTTCTGAGAGTATATTACAATTTAGGGTAAATTAGAAAATCTAAACCTGTTTCTTTACAGCACGAGATGTTAGATGGAACTAACTGCACAACGTAACTGCACGAATGAAAGCATTTTAATTCGACTACTAACCAAAGATGTAATCTTGAAAGGAAACACTGGTCTGGATGCATCACACCACAACTTACTGCCATGTCAGCAGCGCCTCTGACAGGCGACAGGAGTCCGTCAGCATCGTAATTGGCAGCATCCGCGTCACAGTCCTCGTTGCCCCCCAGACTTGCGAGCTTCATGACCGGTGCACCGTCTTTAGCCAGGGGCTTGTCCCGCGCACTCGACTCGACAAACAAGCCTGCGTCTCGAACGGGTGAGAAGACATCGGCGCTCAAGTCGTCCAGGTTAGTGGAACTGAAATATTTGGAGGAAGGTGCCTCGCCCTCTGTTGGCGGCTGCACATCGACCACAATCTCAGGAACTTCTCCCGACAGCGTCCTGTTATTGAGATTCATAACAAGATTTTGATCACAATCATTGAAGGATGTGAACAGAAAAATTGAAAGGCATAATCTGAGAGAAGTTGGATGAAGCTTTGATATTTACACAACGACCTCTCAAATAGATATCAGGAAAGAATGTAGGATATTTATATCTTTAGTCTAATAGAAGAAAATGTAAAATAAATAGAAAACTGTTATTTCTTGAAGTCAGTATAAACTCATTTTACAGCTAATCGAAACCAAACTATGTCAGAAATAATTGTAAGCTATAAATATGATGCCTGCGCATCAAAAAATTAAAATCACACAATAGAAGCAAGTCTAAATTCAACTTAAAAACTTACTTTGTTCTTTGGTGAGGAGTTCTGCGTTTCTTCTGCAAGTTCTGGAAATATGGGAAAATAAAACGAGTTGATGCAATGAGAAATAACACACATTATTCGTCATATCAGAATTTAAAATCCACAGAAAACAAGTATTAATATTACCACAGTAGAATTAAAAAGAGACGTATTGGTAAGAGAGCTGTAGAGATTACCTAAAATAGAATGGTTTCGGTTCTTTCCACGGCTCATGGAACTAAAATATATCGATAGGAGTTGAATGAGAAACTGGCTTAACATCTCATCACACACGGGCTCGGTTTGACTAGGAAAATAATCTTTGAAGGCGTAAATACTAAATGAGCATAACCATTGAGAATACCTGTTTTGCAGACAAATTTTGGTGTCTTGTATCACGTATATTTGGTCGCTATATTACACAGAATTGGACTCTACCTCACATAGAATTGGTTTCTATATCACATTTACATAATTAATCTTATATCACATAAACAGGTATCTATATCACATGTGCATCATATGGAACACAATACGCTTGACCAGGCGTCACAACTGAGTAACTGACAGAGGCAGCAGGCCGAGGTGCCATGGTCATCAGCGCCCCGGAGTGAGCTGACCACGAGTGCTGCGGTGTGCGCAGGTTGCGCAGGTCGTACAGCAGAGCCTCGCCAGACATTGTGCCCGCGCAGATCTGCACAGTAGCAATAGTGGTGAGCACAGCAGGCAGGACATTAGCGTGATGGTGGTGAGCACAGCAGGCAGGACATTAGCGTGATGGTGGTGAGCACAGCAGACAGCACATTAGCGTGATGGTGGTGAGCACAGCAGGCAGCACATTAGCGTGATGGTGGTGAGCACAGCAG